TGGGGCAGGGCAGGGTGGGGTTGGGGGAAGTTTGGGGGTGGTTATGGGGTTGGGAATGGTTTGAGGGGAGGGGGCAGGTTTGGGGTGGGGGTGGTTTGGGGACTGTTGTGGGGCCAGGAGGGGGTTTGGGGGCTGGTTATGGGGTCGGGAAGGGTTTGAGGGGAGGGGGCAGGTTTGGGGGTGGTTTGGGGGCTGCTGTGGGGCCAGGAGGGGGTTTGAGGGATGGTTGTGTCCCCTGCACCCCTGTATCCCCCCCACGGCCCTTCCTTGTCCCTCCACGTCCTGTGTCCCTCTTGTGCCCCCTCCACACCCCCTGTTCCCCACCCCATGTCCCCATCACCTCCCCATGTCTCTCCAACCCCTATCCCCACCCCTGTCTCCCCATCCCCACCTTGTGCATGAACACCAGGGCTCTCCCCATGTCCCCTGTCCCCCATCCCCACCTTGTGCATGAACACCAGGGCTCTCCCCATGTCCCCTGTCCCCCATGTACCCCCATGTCCCCCTGTCCCCACCTTGTGCATGAACACCAGGGCTCTCCCCCATCCCCACCTTGTGCATGAACACCAGGGCTCTCCCCATGTCCCCCTGTCCCCACCTTGTGCATGAACACTCAGGGCTCTCCCCATGTCCCCTATCCCCCCATCCCCACCTTGTGCATGAACACCAGGGCTCTCCCCATGTCCCCCCTATCCCCCCATCCCCACCTTGTGCATGAACACCAGGGCTCTCCCTGTCCCCACCTTGTGCATGAACACCAGGGCTCTCCCCTGTCCCCACCTTGTGCATGAACACCAGGGCTCTCCCCTGTCCCCCCATCCCCACCTTGTGCATGAACACCAGGGCTCTCTCCCATGTCCCCTTGTCCCTCCCATGTCCCCTTGTGTCCCCCCCATGTCCCTCTGTCCCCACCTTGTGCATGAACACCAGGGCTCTCCCCCCTGTCCCCCCCTGTCCCCACCTTGTGCATGAACACCAGGGCTCTCCCCCATCCCCACCTTGTGCATGAACACCAGGGCTCTCTCGTGCACCGCGTTGGCCTCCTCGAAGGCGGGGTCTGAGGGGCAGCGACCTTTGACCTGTGCCCGGCGCTGCCGCAGGTACTGGTACCACAGCTTGTAACTGAGGGGACACCGGGGTCACCTGGGGCACCCCTGTGTTACCTGGGACACTCCTATGTCACCCCTGTGTCACCCCCTGTGTCACTGCCGCAGGTACTGGTACCACAGCTTGTAACTGAGGGGACAGGGGTCACCTGGGGCACACCTGCCTCACCTGGGACACCCCTGTCACCCCCTGTGTCACTGCCACAGGTACTGGTACCACAGCTTGTAACTGGGGGGACACTGGGGTCACCCCTGTGTCACCTGGGACACCCCTGTCACCCCTGTGTCACCTGGGATACCCCTGTGTCACCCCCTGTGTCACCTGGGACACCCCTGTCACCCCCTGTATCACTGGTGCAGGTACTGGTACCACAGCTTGTAACTGAGGGGACACCGGGGTCACCCCTGTGTCACCTGGGACACCCCTGTCACCCCCTGTGTCACCTGGGTGTCGTGGTTTTGCCCATAGCTTGTAACTGGGGGGAAACAGGGGTCACCTGGGGCACCCCTCTGTCACCTGGGACACCCCTGTGTCACCCCCTGTGTCACTGCTGCAGGTACTGGTACCACAGCTTGTAACTGGGGGGACACTGGGGTCACCTGGGGCACTTGGGACACCCCTGTGTCACCCCCTGTGTCACCTGGGACACCCCTGTGTCACCCCTGTGTCACCCCCTGTGTCACTGCCACAGGTATTAGTTAGACACAGGGGGCACCCCTGTGTCACCCCCTGTGTCACCTGGGACACCCCTGTGTCACCCCCTGTGTCACTGGTGCACGTACTGGTACCACAGCTTGTAACTAGGGGAACATCAGGGTCACCTGGGACACCCCTGTGTCACCCCCTGAGTCAACCCTGTCACCCCCTGTGTCACTGCCACAGGTACTGGTACCACAGCTTGTAACTGAGGGGACACTGGGGTCACCTGGGGCACTTGGGACACCCCTGTGTCACCCCTGTGTCACCCCCTGTGTCACCTGGGACACCCCTGTGTCACCCCGAGTCACCCCTGTCACCCCCTGTGTCACTGCCGCAGGTACTGGTACCACAGCTCGTAACTGGGGGGACACTGGGGTCACCTGGGGCATACCTGTATCACCTGGGACACCCCTGTGTCACCTGGGACACCCCTGTGCCACCATCTCCCATCACTGCCACACGTACAGGTGCCACAGGTACACCTCAGACACCCCCAGGTGTATCCCAGGTCCCCCAGGTATCCCCCAGGTGTGTCAGATGGATCCCAGGTGTATCCCAATTGCCCCCACGTGTATCCCAGGTGCCCCAGGTGTGCCCCCAGGTGTGCCCCCCCTCCCCAGATGTATCCCAATTGCCCCCAGGTGTATCCCCAGTGCCCCCAGGTGTGCCAGCTGTCCCCAAGGTGTCCCCCAGGTGTATCCCCGGTGCCCCCAGGTGTGCCAGGTGTGTCCCAGGTGTATCCCTGGTGCCCCCAGGTGTGCCAGGTGCGGTACCTGCCGGGCAGCTCCCGCAGGGCCCTCTCGTAGATCTGGTTGAGGCGGGGGCGGGGCCCGCGCTGCCGGGCCTGGGCATAGCGGAGCCACCCCCGCACCGAGAACGGGTTCCGGAGCAGCTCCTCCTCGTGCTGCACCTCCTCATCCTCCTGGGGGACAGAGGGGACAGTCAGGGGACAGTCAGGGACAGGGGACATGGCAGGGACAGCTCCTCCTCGTGCTGAACCTCCTCATCCTCCTGGGGGACACAGGGGACAGTCAGGGACAGGGGACATGGCAGGGACAGCTCCTCCTCGTGCTGCACCTCCTCATCCTCCTGGGGGACACAGGGGACAGTCAGGGACAGGGGACACTGTCAGGGACAGGGGACATGGCAGGGACAGCTCCTCCTCGTGCTGCACCTCCTCATCCTCCTGGGGGACACAGGGGACAGTCAGGGACAGGGGACACTGTCAGGGACAGGGGACACTATGACAGAGCCACCCCCGCACCAAGAACGGGTTCCGGAGCAGCTCCTCCTCGTGCTGCACCTCCTCATCCTCCTGGGGGACACAGGGGACAGTCAGGGACAGGGGACATGGCAGGGACAGCTCCTCCTCGTGCTGCACCTCCTCATCCTCCTGGGGGGAGAGGGGACAGTCAGGGGACAGTCAGGGACAGGGGACAGGGCAGGGACAGCTCCTCCTCGTGCTGCACCTCCTCATCCTCTGGGGGACACAGGGGACAGTCAGGGGACAGTCAGGGGACAGTCAGGGACAGGGGACATGGCAGGGACAGCTCCTCCTCGTGCTGCACCTCCTCATCCTCCTGGGGGACACAGGGGACAGTCAGGGGACAATCAAGGCACAGGGGACACTGTCAGGAACATGGGGACAGCCAGGGACAGCTCCTCCTTGTGCTTCACCTCCTCGTCCTCCCAGGGACACACAGGGGACAGTCAGGGGACAGGGGACAGTCAGGACACATGGCAGGGTCAGGAGACAGTCAGGACACATGGCAGGGCCAGGGGGCAGTCAGGGGACAGGGACAGCTCCTCCTTGTCCTCCTCGGGGGACACAGGGACATGGGCAGGGGACACCCCCAGGGGACAGGGGACACTGCCAGGGGACAGCAGGGAGGGGACAGGGGGACCAGGACAGGACAGGAGAGACAAGGGACAGGGAATGACAGGGGGATGGGGACACCAGGCCAGAGGGGACAGGGAGGGGACAGGGACACAGGGGACAGGGAGGGACAGGGACACAGGGACAGGGAGGGACGGACAGGGACACAGGGGACAGGGACAGCAGCAGCAGGGACACGGGGTGGGAGGTGGTGGGGACAAAGCAACAGGTGGGAAACAGGGACATGGGGACAGGAGAGGGGACAGGGACATGAGGACATGAGACAGGGATGGGGACAGGGACACGAGGACATGGGACAGGGAGAGGATGGTGACACCAGGATGGGGACAGGAGAGGGGACAGGGACACAGGGACATGGGACAGGGAGGAGATGGGGACACCGGGATGGGGACAGGAGAGGGGACAGGGACACAGGGACATGGGAGGGAATGGGGACACGGGGATGGGGACAAGGACACAAGGACATGGGAGGGAATGGGGACATCGGGATGGGGACAGGAGAGGGGACAGGGACACAGGGACATGATCATGGGAGGAGATGGGGATACCGAGATGGGGACACAGAGACAGGGGGACATGGGGCAGGGAGGGGGATGAGGACAGGGGACAGGGATGGAGACACTGGAATGGGAACAGGGACACGGAGCAGGGATAACACCCGTTACCAGGAGGGGGTGTCGGGCCGGGAGGGGACACGGACGGGACACAGGGCTGGGTGTGGCACCGGGGACAGGAGAGGAAAGGGACGGGGACGGGGACGGGAACGAGGACGGGGATGGGACACGGGGACGGGGACGGGGAATGGAGACGGGGACGACAACGGGACAAGTATGTGAACGGGGGGTCCCGCCCTGCCCCGCACTCACAAAGCACAGCTCGGGCCGCTCCGGGCCCGGCGCCGTTCCGGGATCCGCCGCTGCCGCCGTCGCCGCCGTTACCGCTTCCGTTACCGGCTCCGTTACCGCCTCCGCTCCGGGCTCCTCCCGCGGCGCCTCCGCCGCTCCCTCGGCCGCTCCTGGGCCCGTCTCCGGCCCCGCTGCCGCTCCCGGCGGCTCCTCCAGCGCCGCCATCTCCGGCGCCGCCGCCGCCATCTTCCCGCGCGCGCCGCCACTTCCGACAGCCCCGCCCCGGCTTCCGCCCTCACTTCCGCCTCTCCTTCGGGCGTCATTTCTGCCCTGGCCGTTCTCTCATTGGTCCCCATCCCCGTCCGTCACGGTGTCGCCCCGCCCCGGCGAGCATATCTTAACCAATAGAGGACAGCGGTGCTGGCGGAGCGGCCAATGGGCGAGCGCCGTGTTGCGGTGTGGGGAAGGCGGAAGCGGAGGGCGCTGGGGGAGCCATGGGGGTGAAGCTGGAGATGCTGAGGGTGAGGGGGGCGGGGCCGGGGGCCGGGGGCAATGGGGGGTTTAACCCCGGGGGCTTTGAGGGGTCATTGGGGGTTTAACCTCGGGGGCTTTGAGGGGGTCATTTGGGGGCGGAGTTAACCCTGGGTGGCATTGGGGGGCAATTGGGGGTTCACCCTGGGGGTCATTTGGGGAGGTTTAACTCTAGGGGTCATTGAGGGGTTCATTGGGGGTTTAACCTGGGAGGGCTTTGGGGGATTAATTCGGGGCATTTGGGGGTTAACTCGGGGGGCTTTGGGGGTCATGGGGGTGTTAATTGAGGGGCATTTGGGGGGGTTAACCCCAGGGGGTCATTGGGGGTCGTTTGGGGGTTAATTGAGGGGGCATTTAGGGGGTTAACCCGGGGGCATTGGGGGTCATTTACGGGGGGCAATTGGGGGCGTTTCACCCTGGGGGATCATTTGGGGGTTTAACCCGGGGGGTCACTGGGGGGCAATTGGGGTGGAAACCCTGGGGGCAATTGGGGGATTTAATCCCCAGGAGGGGGCAGTTTGGGGGCACAGGTGACATGGGGGTGACAGGTGGCATTTGGGGACACTGGGGAGGTTGATGACACTGGGGGGACAGGAGGAGGTTGGTGACACTGGAGGGGGCTGGTGACACTGGGGGGTTGGTGACACTGGGAGGAGGGGTTGGGGACACTGGGGAGTTGGGGACACTGGAGAGGGGGTTGGTGACACTGGGGGGGATTGGGGACACTGGGGAGGACAGAGGGGGTTGGTGACCCCGCCCCTGGTGTTGCTGGCCCTGCCCCACCCCCCATGGGGGGACACAGGGAGGGGACACAGAGGGGGCACAGGGGACACCGGGGGGTGACACAGTGGGGGTGACACAATGGGGGTGACACAGTGGGGGTGACAGAGGGTGGTCCCTGCCACAGAGAGGTGACACAGGTGTGTCCCCAGGTGTTCCTGTCCCTGTCCTTCCCCATGGGGGTGTTCTGGGTGTCACAGGGGGGTGTGACAGGGGGGTGTCCAGGTGTGTCCCAGGTGTGTCAGGGGGTGTGACAGAGGTGTCCCCGTGTCCCCAGATGTTCCTGTACCTGTCCTTCCCCGTGGGGGTGTTCTGGGTGTCACAGGGGGGTGTCAGGGGGGTGTCAGGGGATGTCCCAGGTGTGACAGGGGGGTGTGACAGAGGTGTCCCCATGTCCCCAGATGTTCCTGTACCTGTCCTTCCCCATGGGGGTGTTCTGGGTGTCACAGGGGGGTGTGACAGGTGTGACAGGGGATGTCCCAGGTGTGACAGGTGTGTCAGGGGGTGTGACAGAGGGGTGTTTCAGATGTTCCTGTCCCTGTCCTTCCCGGTCGGGGTGTTCTGGGTGTCACAGGGGGGTGTCAGGGGATGTCCCAGGTGTGACAGGTGACAGGTGTGACAGGGGGGTGTCCCAGGTGTGTCAGGGGGTGTGACAGAGGTGTCCCCATGTCCCCAGATGTTCCTGTACCTGTCCTTCCTCATGGGGGTGTTCTGGGTGTCACAGGGGGGTGTGACAGGTGACAGGTGTGACAGGTGACAGGTGTGTCCCCAGATGTTCCTGTACCTGTCCTTCCCGGTCGGGGTGTTCTGGGTGTCACAGGGGGGTGTGTCAGGTGTGACAGGAGGGTGTCCAGGTGTGTCCCAGGTGTGACAGAGGGGTGTGACAGAGGTGTCCCCATGTCCCCAGATGTTCCTGTACCTGTCCTTCCCGGTCGGGGTGTTCTGGGTGTCACAGGGGGGTGTGACAGGTGTGACAGGGGATGTCCCAGGTGTGACAGGTGTGTCCCAGGTGTGACAGAGGGGTGTTTCAGATGTTCCTGTACCTGTCCTTCCCGGTCGGGGTGTTCTGGGTGTCACAGGGGGGTGTGACAGGGGATGTCCCAGGTGTGTCCCAGGTGTGACAGGTGTGTCCCCAGATGTTCCTGTACCTGTCCTTCCCGGTCGGGGTGTTCTGGGTGTCCAACCAGGCCGAGTTTTTCGAGCGTCACGTGATCGAGCGCAAGGTGGGGGAGGGGCTCTGGGAAGGGGGGGAGGGGACACTGAGGGGACACTGAGGGGACCCCCCCGATGTCCCCCGGGTCCCCCCGGCCCCTCCCCCCTCACTGGTTCCCATTCCAGAGGGAGATTTTCCCGCCGGACGATCCCGAACGGGTGAGAGACCCCCGAGTGCCCCCAAATGTCCCCAAAGTGTCCCCAAATGTCCCCTGAGTGTCCTCAAATGTTCCCTGAGTGTCCCCAATGTCCCCTGAGTGTCCCCAATGTCCCCAAAGTGTCCCCAATATCCCCAAATGTCCCCAAAACGTCCCCAAATGTCCCCCGAGTGTCCCCAAATGTCCCCAAAGTGTCCCCAAATGTCCCCTGAGTGTCCCCTGAGTGTCCCCAAATGTCTCCAGGGTGTCCCCAGTGTCCTCCTCAGTGTCCCCAAGGTCCCAAAGTGTCCCCTCGGGGTGTCCCCAATGTTCCCCTCAGTGTCCCCAAGGTCCCAAAGTGTCCCCCAGGGTGTCCTGTCAGTGTCCCCAAGGTGTCCCCAGGGTCTCCAAATGTCCTTCTGGGTGTCCCCTCAGTGTCCCCAGGGTGTTCCTGAAGTCCCCAAGTGTGTCCTTCTGAGTGTCCCCAACACCCATCTCAGTGTCCCCAAAGTGTCCCCGAGGTCCCAAAGTGTCCTCGGGGTGTCCCCAACACCTTCAATGTCCCCCCGGTGTCCTCAGTGTCCTCCTGATGTCCCCACCGTGTCCCCAGTGCCCCTCTCGGTGTCCCTAAGGTGTCCCCAAGGTCCCCTGATGTCCCCAACATCCCCCCCCAGTGTCCCCAAAGTCCCTCCCCAGCGTCCCCGATGTCCCCAGTGCTGTCCTGGGGTCCCCACAATGTCCCCGACACCCTCTCAGTGTCCCCCTGGTGTCCCCCTGGTGTCCCCTCCCCCTGCCAGTGCCACCACCCCGGGGGGAGGGGACACCCCTGGCACTGAGATGTCCCACCCCGTGTCCCCACACGTGTCCCCATTTCTTTTGTCTTTGCTGGCCCCTGTCCCCACGTCCCCTGTCCCTGTGTCTCCTGTCCCTGTGTCCCCTGTCCCCGTGCCCCCTGTCCCCTGTCCCCTGTCCCTGTGTCCCCTGTCCCTGCTGCCCTTTGTCCCCCATTCTCACATCCCCTGTCCTCGTGTCCCCGTCCCATGTCCCCATGTCCGTGTCCCCTGTCCCTGTCTGTCCTGACCCCTGTCCCCCTGTCACTGTCTTTGTTTCCTGACCTGTCCCCTGAGCTGTTCCTGTCCCCTGCCGTGTCACTGTCCCTGACCTGTCCCCTGAGCTGGCCCTGTCCCCTGCCATGTCACTGTCCCTGAGCTGTCCCCTGAGCTGTCCCTGGCCCTGGTCCTGATCTGTCCTTGCCCACTGTCACCATCTCCTGTCCCTGACCCATGCCTGTCTCCTGTCCCTGATCTGTCCCCATCCCTGTCCCTGATCTGTCCCTGTCCCTGATCTGTCCCTGTTCCTGAGCTGTCCCTGTCCTTGTCTTTGATCTGTCTCTGTCCCCTGATGTGTCCCCTGATCTGTCCCTGTCCCTGACGTGTCCCCTTGTCCCCAGCGCCGGGCCATGGCTGAGCTGAAGCGGCGGCTGCGGGAGGGGAAGGGGGCCCAGGCGTGAGGGGACCCGGGGACACCCCTGGGGACACCCCTGGGGACAGAGGGGACACATGGTGGCTGCCACCGTGACATCGCTGGGGACACCTCCTGTCCCCTCCTGTCCCCTCCTGTCCCCTCTTGTCACCGGGAGCGCCGCCGACACCGGCACGGGGGTGGCCCTGGCGACAAAGGGGACAGGACGTGGCTGCAGCTGTGACACCGCAGGGACCGCCCTGCTGGCACAGGGGACACGAGGCCACCTCCTGTCACCTGTGACCACGGCCACGCCCCGGTGACAACGCCCTGAGCGCGTTGGTGGCAGCGAGCGCGACACCCGCGACCGGTGACGTCGAGGTGACATCGAGACAGCATCGTGGTGACGTCACGGTGACATCGTGGTGACATGGTGACATCGCAGTGACATTGTGGTGGCATCATGGTGGCATTGCAGTGACATTGTGGTGGCATCATGGTGGCATCGCAGTGACGTCGTGGTGACGTCGTGGTGACGTCACGGTGACATCGTGGTGACAGGGGACGCGCGGCCACCTCGTGTCACCGAAGGCCCGTCATGACAGCGTCGTGGTGACAACCGCGGTGACAAAGTGGCGGGTGGCACTGTCCTGTCCTGGTGCCACCCCCTGAGCGCGCCGGTGACAGAGGGGACACGTGGCATTGTCCTGGTGCCACCAGCGCAGCTGGCAGAGGGGACACGGGGGGAGGGGACACGTGGGCCGCTCTCGTGCGGGTGACAGGCAGGCCACGTGCCCTGGGCTGATGCCACCCCCGCAGGTGGCACCGGGGTCACGCGGCCACCCCCCGTGTCCCCACGCTGGGAACAGGCAGGGGACAAACGGGACACGTGTCCGGAGCTGCCGCTGCCCCCCCGGCCCGAGGGGACACCCCTGGCTGTCCCTCCCCAATAAACGGCGCTGGCACCGCCCGGGCTGTCCCCAGGGTGGCACCGGGGGCTGGCAGGGCCACCCGGGGGTCCTGTGTCCCCCAGTGTCCCCTGGGGGTGTCCCCGCGGGTGTCCCGTGTCCCTCAGCGTCACTGAGTGCTGTGACTGTCCCTTGGTGTAACCCCTCCAGGTGCCACTGTCCCCCAGTGTCCCTCAGTTCCACCTCAGCGTCACTGAGTGCTGTGACTGTCCTTGAGTAACCCCTCCAGGTGCCACTGTCCCCCAGTGTCCCTCAGTTCCACCTGAGTGTCCTCTGTCCCCTGGTGCCACCCCCACGGGTGCCATTGTCCCCCAGTGTCCCCTGGGGCCACCCCCGCGGGTGTCCTGTGTCCCTCAGTGTCACTGAGTGCTGTGGCTGTCCCCTGCTGCCACCCCCACGGGTGCCAGTGTCCCTCAGTGCCACCTGAGTGTCCCGTGTCCCCTGGTGCCACCCCCGTGGGTGTCATTGTCCCCCAGTGTCCCCTGGTGCCACCTGAGTGTCCCGTGTCCCCTGGTGCCCCCCCACGGGTGTCATTGTCCCCCAGTGTCCCCTGGTGCCCCCTGAGTGTCCCGGGTCCCCTGCTGCCACCTCCACATCTGCCATTGTCCCCTAGTGTCCCTCAGTGCCACCCCCACGGGTGCCACTGTCCCCCAGTGTCCCTCAGTGCCACCTGAGTGTCCTGTGTCCCCTGGTGCCACCCCTATGGGTGCCATTGTCCCCCAGTGTCCCCTGGTGCCCCCCCCACGGGTGCCATTGTCCCCCAGTGTCCCCTGGTGCCACCCCCACGGGTGCCATTGTCCCCCAGTGTCCCCTGGTGCCCCCCTACGGGTGCCATTGTCCCCCAGTGCCCCCCAGTGCCCCCCATGTCCCCAAGGCCCCCGTGGGTGTCACAGGCCCCAAATGCTCGGGGTTTATTGGGAGGCACACAGACTGTGGGGGCCACAGGGTGGTGACATTGTGGGCACGGGGGAGGGTGGCACCGGGGGTGATCGATGACTCCAGGGGCTCCGGGGGTCAGTCCTGTGGGGACACACGGGGGCACTCACAGGGTGTCCTGGGGTGTTCCCAGGTCCCTCCATACCCCCTGAGTGCCCACCTGGGTGGCCCCCAACACTGGGGTGCCTCCCGTGTTCCTCTCCCACCCCAAACCCACCCCCAGTGCCCCCAAGGCCACTTGTGCCCCCTCCCTGAGCCAAAGCCCCCTGGTGCCCCCAGTCCCAACTGTGCCCCCCACCAGTGCCCCCAAGGCCACCTGTGCCCCCCACTGTCCCCCCAGTCCCACCTGCGCCCCCAAGCCAAAGCCCCCAATGCCCCCGGTCCCACCTGTGCCCTCCCCAATGCCCCCCGGTCCCACCTCTGCCCCCAGCCGAAGCCCCCTGGTGCCCCCCAGTGCCACCTGCGCCTCCGGTCCGGGCCCGAAGCCGGGCAGGGTGGGCACGGGCAGGCGCTGCTCGTCCATCCGCCGGCCCTGCGAGCTCGCCACCAGCTCCAGCAGCGACGCCAGTTCCGGGGGCGGCTGCCCACACCCTCCGCCTGCGCGGGGAACACCCATGGGTCAGCTCGGAACCCGCGGAAAACACGGAACCCTCACGGAACACAGCGAACCCCCAGCACCCACGGAATCCCCCACGGATCACACAGAGCCCCCCATGGCACCCACGTGTCCCCACGTGTCCCCGTGTCCATACCCTGTGTCCCCTCGTGTCCCCTCACCCCGTGTCTGTACCCTGTGTCCCCCCGTGTCCGTACCCTGGGTCTCCCCGCGTCCCCTCACCCCGTGTCCGTACCCCGTGTCCTCCCGTGTCCCCCGTGTCCCCGTGTCCCTCACCCCTGTGCCCCCCATATCCCCGTATCCCCTCACTCCTGTATCCCCCCGTGTCCCTCCCCTGTGTCCCCCTGTGTCCCCTTGTCCGTACCCTGTGTCCCCCCATGTCCGTACCCTGTGTCCCCCCCATGTCCGTACCCCGTGTCCCCTCCCGTGTCCCTGTGTCCGTACCCTGTGTCCCCCAGTGTCCCCCGTGTCCGTACCCTGTGTCTCCCTGTGTCCCCCTGTGTCCCTACTCCTGTGTCCCCCTGTGTCCCTCACCCTGTGTCCCCCTGTGTCCCCGTGTCCGTACCCCTGTGTCCCCCCGTGTCCTCACCCTGTGTCCCCCCGTGTCCCCGTGTCCGTACCCTGTGTGCCCCTGTGTCCCCGTGTCCCTGTGTCCCCCCGTGTCCGTACCCTGTGTCCCCCGTGTCCCCGTGTCCGTACCCTGTGTCCCCCCGAGGCTGCAGCGCTGCTCGTCCATCCGCGCTCCCTGCACGGAGCTGAGCAGGGAGAAGAACCCCTCCTGTTCCGGGATCCCCTCGGGGACCCCCTCTGCCGGGGACCCCCTGCGGGGACACCGGGTCAGGGACCCCCCTCCTGTTCCGGGGACCCCCTGGGAGACCCTCTGCTGGGGACCCTCCTGCAGGGACACCGGTCAGGGCCCCCTCGAAACAGAGACCCCCCCGAAACGGGGACCCCCCCTGCGGGGACACCGCGTCAGGGACCCCCCCAAACAGGGACCAACCTCCCGAAATAGAGACTCCCTCGGCCGGGGACCCCCACCCTGGGATCCCCCTGCGGGGACACCGGGTCAGGGACCCCCTCCTGTTCCGGGAACCCCCCCCTCGGGGGAGACCCCTCTCCGCCGGGGACCCCCCCTGCGGGGAGACCGCGTCAGGGACCCCCCCAAACAGGGACCCCCCTCGGGAGAGACCCCCTCTGCCGGGACACCACGTCAGGGACCCCCCCAAAAGGGAACCCCCTCGAAACAGAGACCCCCCCGAAACGGGGACCCCCCCTGCGGGGACACCGGGTCAGGGAACCCCCAAAAAGGGACCACCCCCTGAAATAGGGACCCCCCCCTCGAAATAGTGACACCCCCCTGAAATAGTGACCACCCCCGAAACAGGGACCACCCCCAAAATAGGGACCACCCCTCGAAATAGTGACTCCACCCCCTGAGACAGGGACCCCCAACGAGGGAACCCCCAAAAAGGACCCCCAAGAAAGGGAACCCCAAAGAGGGAACCCTTCCAACGAGGGACCCCCAAAAAGGAACCCTCAAAAGGGGAACCCTCCCAAAGAGGAAACCCCCCAAAAGGGAACCCCCAACGAGGGACCCCAAACAGGCCCCCTCAAACGTGGGACCCACCTCCACACCCACGCAAAGGGGACCCCGCGTGGGCACCCGCAGCGCCCCCTCCACCCCCTCTGTGCCCCCCCACTGGTGTCCCTCTGGGGTGACCCCCACCATGGGTGTCCCCCCGTGGGTGCTCCCCACCCGTGGGTGCCCCCACCCGTGGATGTCTCCCCGTGGGTGCCCCCTCACCGCCGCACGCTTGGGCTCCGTCCCCCAGGGCCGCCATCGCGGGTGGGTGGGAGCGACCCCGTGTCCCCTCTTATACCCCGCGTGGGGGACACGGGGGACACGGAGGGGACACGGGGATGATGGGAGAGCGGGGGGTGGCGGGGCGTATGGGGGGGGCACCCGCGGGTGTTCGTGGGGGCTCTGGGTGCTGTGAGGTCCTGTGGGTGCTCTGTGGGTGCTCTGTGGGATCCCCGTGGGTGCTGTGTGGTTCCTGTGGGTCCTGTGGGTGCTGTGGGTGCTCTGTGGGTCCCATGGGTACTGTGGGGTCCCCGTGGGGTTCTCGTGGGTGCTGTGGGGTCCCCACGGCCACTGTTGGGGTCCCGGGGCTGTTGTGGGGTCCTTGCAGGGTCCCTGTGGGGTCCCGTGGGTGCTCTGTGAGGTCCCGTGGGTGCTGTGGGGTCCCCGTGGGTCTCCCTGGGTGCTGTGGGTGCTCTGTGGGGTCCCTGTAGGTGCTGTGAGGTCCCGTGGGTGCTGTGGGGTCCCCGTGGGTGCTGTGGGGTCCCCGTTGGTCCCCGTGGGTACTGTGGGTGCTCTGTGGGGTCCCTGTGGGTGCTGTGGGGTCCCTGTGGGGTCCCGTGGGTGCCCCGGACACCCCCGCGTGCCGCAGGTCCCATCCCGGGGGGGCGATGGGTACGTGGGCGGGGGGTTGGGGAGGATGAGGGGGATGGGTGCTCCTCCCCCCCCCACGCGTGTCCCCAATCCCCCCCTTGGCAGCCGCGAGCAATTAAGCAAATGGCGCTTAATTGCACCCACCGATCCGCCCTCCCCACCCGCACCCACCGCCCGCGGGGGAACCGGTTCGGGGGGACACGGGGGACACGGGGAACACGGGGGACACGAGGTGACACCCTGCCCCCCACCAGTGCCCGTGGAGCCACGCAGGAGGGGGTCCAGTGCCACCAGTGACCCTTCTGGTGTCCTCTCGTGTCCCTCAGTGCCCCCTCCGCTGTCCCCCTGTCCCCCGTGTCCCACAACGCCCCCAGTGTCTCCCAGTGTCCCCTGGCATCCCCCAGTGACCCCCATTGTCCCCCAGTGTCTCCCAGTGTCCCCGGCAGTCCCCAGTGGCGTCCCCTCTGTCCTCAGTGTCCCCAGTTGTCCCCGTTGTCCCCAGCGTCCCCCGTGTCCCCCCCGTGTCCCTCAGTGTCCCCCCAGTTACCTCCCCAATGTCCCCTCGTGTCCCCCCGTGTCCCCACACAGCGTCCCCTCCAGTGTCCCCGGGGACAGCAGGGCCAGGTCTGGCTCAGGGTCTCTGTCCCCGCCGTGTCCCCAAACCCTGTCCTTGTCCCTGTCCCCTGTCCTTGTCCCCTGTCCCTGTCCCCTGTCCTTGTCCCCTGTCCCTGTCCCCTGTCCCTGCCCCCACCCGTGTCCCCTGTCCCTGTCCCCACCCGTGTCCCTGTCCCCAGCTCCCGAGCCCCCCCATCCCAGCATACAGTGCCACTCCCTGGTGTCCCCATGTCCCCCATGTCCCCTGGTGTCCCTCATGTCCCCTGACCCCCACATGTCCCCTGGTGTCCCTCATGTCCCCTGACCCCCCCCACATGTCCTCTGGTGTCCCTCATGTCCCCTGCCCCCCCACATGTCCCCTGGTGTCCCCCCATGTCCCTCATGTCCCCTGCCCCCCCACATGTCCCCTGGTGTCTCCCCATGTCCCTCATGTCCCCTGCTCCCACATGTCCCCTGGTGTCCCCTGGGACACAGAGGGAACAGAGGGGACAGG